CGAGACAGTATGTTGGAGACAGCCAAATTGTGTTTTACGTCAGCATCTCGCTGTGAGGGAGATGGTGATGAAGAGGAGTGGCTTATTCATTACATGCTGGGGAAGATTGCGGAGAAGCAGAAACAGCCTCCTGTTGTCTATCTGCTTCATTACAAACAGGCAGGTCATTACCTGCATGAGGAGGCTGCCCGTTATCCAAAGAAGATTCACTACCATAATCCACCAGAACTTGCCATGGAAGCATTGGAGGTAAAAGGAAGTTAAATACGTAGGCTTGAAAACCTTGTTCTCTACAGCTAACAGAATACCAGTTATTATTAGTTGATATTATTAGACAAATGTGCATGGTGCTCTGCAGCTGGGAACATTTACAAGACTAACTTGGGGGCTAAAATGGAGCCTGTTAGTTGGGCTAGTTTTGCTTTAAAGACAGTTTATGTGCACAGTCTCAATACTGGACAGACAGGCAGAATTTCCGTTTCTGGATTTTGCTGGACACAGTTCATTAGTTAATTTTCATCAAAATCAGACATGGATAGTTTCACAAGCATTGCATACCTATGAAAGCGTAAGTTCATGCATGAGTTGGAACAGTGGTCGTAACATCTTTGCTTTCACTGTGTTGTCTGGTAAAAATAGTTGATCTAGAACATACTCAGTGATGACCTGTTTTGCAAGCAGACCAGATCTGCTGTCATTGTTGTATTCCGTAGGTTACAGTTACAAAAATTTTACAGTGTTCAGATCTTGTCATTTACAAGCAACTTTCAAAGGCTGGAAAAGTCCTGTCCGGGTGAGTTTAGGTAGCAGCTGACCGTCAGTACTAACCCCTGCAGTTTCTACAGAGAAGAGACTAGTCGTAATAGGTTGCAGAGCTATGAATTCTTTACTGACCAAATGGACTTCAATCTGTGTTCTAGGTATATTTTCGTCTTCATGCTTCTATTTTGAAACTTGTGGGGAAACCAGACTCTGGAGTAGATGCAGAGATACTAGTTAGTTTCATGAAGGAAGCTTCTGAGGGACCATTTGCCAGGGGTGAGGAGAAGAACACCCCAAAAGTTGCAGAAAAGTGAGTGCTAATTTCCAGGAGTACCCTCTGAAAGCATACTTAAAAACTACTGTATAATAGATTATAAAAATGAAGATGAATGAAATATAAACCAAAGTGATTAGAATTAATTCTAATGTTTGCAGTTTTCAGGTACTGTGAGCACTGAGATTATACGCTACTCAGATCTTCTTAATATGTGGCACAGCGTAGATGGGAAGGGAACAAAATAGAACAATTTTGATCTTGTGTTCCATTTTGAAGCCACTGTTTTTATTTATTAATAAAATCAAATTTTTTAATCAACTATTAACAAATGCAAAAGCGAAGGGCCTTTATTTTAAAGGGTAAGAGACTTTAGTCCTCACAATTTGTCTGATTAACAACTACAAAATAAAGAATGTTTTACGATTGACCAGTGACAAGGGAGGAATATAACCTGTAATAAAAATCCATCGTTTAGAATTTGTTAGTAAGATTTGATTACTGTATTGGAAGTGTTGTAAGAACATGTAGTCTCCTTTTGTACTTTGTATATGTCCCTAGTATGTTAACACTTTACTTTTTTTTTTTTCCTTGCCCTTCCTAGGGAAAAAGCTTGCATGATTGATGAAGACTCTCACTCTTCAGCCGGAACAGTGCCGGGCCCTGGGACTTCCCTCCCCTCATCCTCCGGTCCAGGTCTGACATCCCCACCTTACACAGCCACTCCAGTTGACCACGATTACGTCAAATGTAAAAAACCCCGTCAGCAGGCAACGCCGGACGGTACAGTCCCTGTTCTCAATACTGGCAGCACAGAGAGGTGCTCTAATCATGGGGGGTTTGACCAGGAATGATCAAACTGCTCATTTCCAGGAGGGTGATGGGTCTGTGGTAACACGGGCAATATTGAAGCTCATTACCTTTATAAATTCAGTGCTTTGAATAGAATCAATGTGCAGTCAGAGCTTTAAATAAAAAATTCAAAGTTGTCACCTGCCACCATTGGCACCTGTCACTTAGTCAAAATGGGAGGATCGGAGGAGTATGTAGCTGACTAAATTTTCAGTGATTTTTTTATTTATTTTTTTTCTCCACAGTTAAGTGTCTGTCTGAGCTTATTAGGAAAGACGTGGGTCCAATCTTTGGACGACTGGACACTGTTTCAGTGCCTGTGTGAAATGACCAGGTGAAAATTTGAACTGTGGCTGAAACAAGACAAATTGTTAAAGAGGCAAAGCAAAACAGTATTAACCTTTTTCGAAGGAGGCAGGTGGCAACTATTTTGAATGCATTGTGTATCAGCACGAAGTGATTTGCATGACAGTTCAGTAGACTTCATCTTTTAATTTTTCTTTATCATTTACAATGACTGGTTAGCAGCTCATCTCTATAGAATATGAAGTGATATAACAAATAATTGGCTTATAAATGCAGAAGGTAGGGGGATATCACAGTGTTACTGAAGATTTTGCAATATACATGTATAGTAGAAATTAAGTTACTATTTAAATAACCTGACATTATTATTTGGCTAGGAATTTTATTCTGATTCTACTCTTCTGGCCATTTTTATCCATCTGGATCTGCAAGTATCAGCACTCAAGGAGAAAAATACCTGCAGCGTATAGCTTAGTGTTGGTAGAATGTGGCAAATCCCACAGAAGTGCTCTGCTTGATATGATTTTATTTCTGGAGGGTGGGCTGCTTCCTATTGTCATTTTCTGAAGATTTGTAAATAACTTTGATGACATAAATGTTCATATGCCTGGAAACTCTGCAAGGTGAATTTATTCCTTTTCAACCACAAGTAATTCTTGGTGAAACTGACAGAAGATCTGTCATCTCTTTCACTGAATTGAATAGAGAAATGTTCCTTTTGTCCACGCTTACGTTTCAATAAGGAGTAGTTCACTGGACTGTTTTGATATTGTATGTAGTGTGTTAGTGTGAATGGGTTATATAGTGATTAGGCTCTTATATTAGCCCTTTGGTATCTTTTGGCACAGCAAACTCAGAAGGGGGCAAATATTTTAAGTATTTCCTAAACAGTATTCCCTGTGAGAAGCAGTTCTGCCTAAGACTACATCTGCCTAGATCCTGAAGACTGTTGAAATGTTGCCAGGAGATACATAATTTAGATAAATATTCCAATATATGTTGTTAGTATACTCACTCAAAGTAAGGTATTACGGACTGTGGCATGCTAGTTGCCCAATGGGAGCGAAGTTGGCTGCTTAGCAAAGCCTGAATGTGCAAGCTAAGCGATGTCTACCTCTGCCAGGGCTGAAGTAGCAGTTCCTGGGTCTCCTAGCTTAGCCTAGCTAGGACTAAACTTCCCTGCTGTCAAAGCAATTCAAAGTGTCAGCTGCTGAAAGATGTGGAGTTAGAGTGATCTTTAGGAATGCTGGGTGTAACCATGACAAGTAGAATTGCAAAGTACTGCATCATTCATAACATTTTGTAAGTTGCTGGCACAACTGAACTCTGGATACAGCATATTGAAGAGCCCCAGGAAACTGGAATATTTGCCTTGGGGCCTTTACAGATGGAAGGAGAGTTAGCAGGCTGAGCAATGCTCAGAAGTCTTCCACTTTTATATTATTACATATACTGTGCTCCTCTGCATACATTTGCATTTTATTTGTATTAAAATACATACTTTTGAAATAAAATACTCTTGACACACATAATCACAACACTGAAGAAGACTGGTGCCTGCATCTCCATTGTACCATTCCTAAAAATTGCAAGAAAATATCCATCCTTTGACTACTCTTTAGGATTTTTTTTGTTCCCTACCATTCTGACAGCAAACAAAACCATCTATATTGTTGTTCACAGAACAAATAATTTGGCCTAAATTTGACCTAGATATTTATTCTTTCTGAGGCCTGACAGTACTCTAATTTACTTTCGTATCTATATTGTTGATCATATATGACATAAACAAAGTAAGAGCATTATACAGAGTCTTACCTACAAAATTCTCTTCATATTTTACCATAAACCAACATGCTAGTTGAGATTGCTGTCATTGCTGACCTGTGAGACCTCTTTTTGACCATTTTTGGGTGCTGCACCTCAAGAAAACGTGACCCGTGAGGAAAGAGAGAAGGAATTGGGATGGTTTGTGTAGGGATGAGAAGAGTGAGAGGAGGCATGACAGCAGTGTAACCTAAATAGTGTTGAAGGCTGTACAAAGAGTTAGAGGCAAAACCTCGGGATTTCAGTGTCTGGGAGAGACAGAACAGACAGTATTGGACTTAAACTGCATATTCAATCTGGACATTAGAAAATAGTGTTAGAGTAGTATTAGGAAATACTATTTAGCAAAAAAAAAAAAAAAGTGAAACACTGATATCTTCCAGGGGATAGTATAGAACTGCAATGCTTCAGCACTGGAAGTCTTTAAAAAGTGGCGATACAGCCATCTGCCAGGAATTATGGAGATGTAATTTATCCTGATGGAAAAAGGAATAGACTAGATGAATTCTTGTGGTTCCTTCTGAGCCCTATTTTTTCTATTAATTTTATGTTGTTTGTGGAGGATTTTTTTTTTTTTCTTGGAGGGGTAGGCATTGTGGGTTTTGTTGTTGTTGTTGTTTTTTTTTTAAAACAAGATATCCAGCAGTGTGCTTTCTAGTGCAGGAAGTTCTCATTACAAGCAGAAGAGAATTACTGTACAGCCAGACGTCTTTCCTTGAAAATATTGGGACTCTGATCTTCAAGCATTCATCTGTAGATAGGTAAAGTTGTGAGGGCAGACTTGTTTCGGATACATTGTATTTAAATGTGATGTTATAGCTGTGTAGCTCTCCAGAACGTTTTGCTGGTGGAAAAAGACGACCAGGATATGCAGAAATCACAGTTAAAGTTGAGAGCATTGAAAAGCTTTATATCCAGTGAACACTGGTGATACTACTTTTAAGTCATATATTTAATGAAAATGGGAGAAAGGAACCAGTAAATACAGCTTGTAAAGTAACTAAACTTCTTTTTCCTCATGGCAGCTGCTGGCATGTATCTCCTTCAAGGAGACAGAAGTATTGCTGAGTGGCAACTGTTAGTTGCTGGCTGACTAGCTGCTGTCATGTGTGTAAAATAGGCAGCTTCCTTTCTCTTTCCGTGTCCTTCCATTCAGCAACATCATTCCTTCCTTGTGTTAATCCTGTCTTTCCTGTCATCACCCCCTGCCTGTTGCTGTTTTATAACCCTCCAAAATTAAAACCCTGGATTTGCTAGTAGAAGCCTGAGGTTTAGACTTTTTTTTTTTTATTTTCCAAGAGCAAAGTAGGAAGCAAGAAAAACCAGGAACTCAGCAGGGACCAAGACTTATCGTTACCTGGGATGTCACCATATTGGCACGGTTAAATGGCCAGTGTTTTATGTACCAAACCAGATGTGCTCATTGTCCTCCTTTATACAGGCTGGATGTGTGTAGTCATTAGGGACCAATCACAGTACAGACTTCAAGCAGTTTAATTTTACCTAAATTTTGTGCTAAGCATTACAGTTAGTTCAGAAAGCAGTAAAAGTATTAAATTAAAAAAAAAAAAGGATGAGAAATGTTTCCAAAAAAAGTGGACTGGGAAGTTGTTGTGAGGTCTCTTTTTGCTGTAATATGCCTTTGTTGTGTTGATATTCAGTTCCATGTTACTGTGGTGGTATGCAGATGATGTATTCAGTATCCATTGCTACTGCAGTGTTAAAATGTCTTATTGTTTTAAGTCTTCATCCATGTCATGTAGTATGATATGTGTAGTTAGACGTAATTGTCCTTTTTTTGTGTTTGTCTTTGCCTGATTGCTTTGCAACCAATATTGCCCGTGCTGCCTCTAACCTTTATACAAATCTCTGTTCCCCAGGCATTTTCTTCCTGCTTTCACCTGTCACGGCTTGCTTTTAATAATTGGCAAAACCTGCATGATAAACTCACTGGGAAAGGCTACTTGCTTCATGCTGTGGGAGAAGTCTCACTTCATAGTCTGTTGGTCTGTAATTCTGCAAATGTTATGAATATGCACAGTTTTTTTGTAAACGGGGGTTCTCAACATCCTGATGAGACAAAGGTGATCTCTGAGAAACTTTTTGCACCAGGTTGTCACTCATGCCAAACTAAATAAGCTTCTAAGATGGAGTGGATATTTCTGTGCATAAAAAGAACATCCACATTGCATTTTGGAACATTAAAATCCTACCCTTCAAAATTTTCTCTCTCCAGCAGTTTAAAATGAAATATTTCAGTCTGCAGTACATATCCTTTTCTGGCACATGGTACTGGATGTTCATGGGGACTGCATACTGGACTACTTGAATAATGAATCAGATCCAGTTTATTGCAGGACGCTCCATTTTACCTTTCCCCAGTTTAACCTCTCTGTGATTAGTGGAAGTGTCACACTGGCATTTAGTGTGAGATTATGTGAAAAGGATTTGACTAAATAAATGGCACATTGCTGAGCTACTCTCTTGCCCCACACTGGAAGACAGAGGAAAAGCAATATAGGACTGCAAGTTACCGACACGCAGTCAGTGTTCAGTGCAGCTGGACAAAACGTAGGCTCTCATCTTTGACTCATGTTCCAAGAGAACTCCCTTTATACATTAAGAGGACTTGCTGCCCTCAAGAAATTAACCTGCTCCCATGCAAATCTCCGCAATTCTTTTGTTTGTAATAATGTGCAAGTGCCTTTTGATACAGAGCTGAATGTTGTCTTCTGTTATGGGTGGAATCTGTTTCAAGAATGAGAATTGTGTGATACATCAGGTTTCTGACTACAGAC